GGGGCTCACCGCGACCGCGTGCTGGGGGGCGATGACGTCATCGCGGTCGGGGTAGCGCATGGGGAACTGCGTCCGCTTGTCGTTGAGCTCCTGAGAGGGGGGGGGTTGGGGGGGGGATTGATGGGTTTGCCCGCAGGTGTGTGTGTGTGTGTGTGTGTGCATGTGTGTGTGTGTGCGCGTGGACGTCAAATTGTGAGGGTGGTTGGCGGCGGGCGGGCGATTCAGGGGCGGCTGGGGCGGGCGATTCAAGGGCGGCTGTGGCGACCGCGTGTTGACAGACGCGCCCTGAGCTCAGAGCCGCGAGCGAGGGGGGCAGGCACCCAAGGACGAGGACTCCGCCCTCACGGGCGCCCGCCAAAGCCCGTCAGAGACCCCTGGCTACCCTTGCCTCGCGCCCTGGCGGCGCCCGCGCCTCGACCCCCTGCCACAATCCCCTGGCTGCGCCCCCGCCTCGGGCCCCTGCCAAAGCCGCCCGGCAGCGACTCAATAATCTATTGTCATCCCGCCCCCTCACCTGCACCCAGGGCGCGTACTGCTCCTTGTCGACAGGGTCAGCCTCCAGCAGGCGGTTCAGCAGGCGCAGCGCAGGCTTCACATCTGGGTGGGCGCGGCGCGGACGGGATTGTTGCGGGGACGGGAAGTTGGTTCGCACACGGTGGGACGAGGTGCCTGGGCGCCGCTTCGCTGCGAGCCGGGGCCGCCGGCTGTAAAGCCTCGGGCTTCCGGCAACCGCGTCATGCGCTCGAAATCCCGGACCCAGGCCGGAAAAAGCAGCGGACGGCGGTCCCGGCGACCGGACCAAAGGGGGAGCCCCGGCCCGGCCCAGGGGGCGGGCGCCCGCCCCCCCCACCCTGCAAAAAACTCATCTCACCGCTGCAGATGGGGATGTGGGCTGTCTTGTTCTTATGGATTTCCGCGGGGTCGATGTCGATGTGGATGATGCGCGACCGGGTGGCAAACGACTGGGTAGGAGGGGAGTGTGCAGGGGTGGCATGCAATTGTGTGTGTGTGTGTGTGCGTGTGTGTGTGTGTGTGTGTGTAAAAGATTGTGTGCGTGTGTGTGTGCGTGTGTGTGGGTTTGTGAGAGTGTGTGTGCGTATGTGTGAGTGTAAATGTGGGTGTGCACGCACGCGCGCTTGAATGCGTGCATCAGATGGGGCCGAGTCCGCAGAATAAGCGCGCTGGTTCACCGGCACTCCCGACAGCGCGCATGTTCCGCAGCCCACAAAACCGGCCCGGCCCGCCGCGCTTCCACGAGCAGCGCCCCGCCCCCAACGCGGTGCAGCCGCCGCCCCAAGGAGCTGCCATACGCAGCCGCCCCAAGCAGCTGCCCCTGCTGGCCCCTCACCTCCAGCTTGCCGGTGACGCGGTCGTCAAAGCGCACGCCCAGGGCAATCAGGAGGTCAGCCTGTGTGTGTGTGTGTATGTGTGTGTGTGTGTGAACATGTGTGCGCACACGTGTGTGTGTGCGTGTGCGCGCGCGTGTGCGAGTGTGTGGATGAGTGAGGGTGGGTGAAGCAGCGAGGTGGCCTCAGGACACTTCACATGCAACACAATCGGCGCTACGTTGTCTAGAAAAAATTGCCGAAGAAACCGCTGGAAGAAACACAAACGGCACCTCATCCACAAAGAAGTGCTCCGAGAATCACCCCAAACCGCGCCACGCCCGCAAAAACGACGCCGCCGCACCTGGTCAACCGAGTAGTTGGCGTAAACCGTGCCGTGCATGCCCAGCATCTGCAGCGCCAGGGGGTCGGTGCTCGGGAAGGAGCCCAGGCCCATGAGGGTTGACACCACGGGGATGCCGGTGCGAGACACAAACTCGCGGACCTCGGGGGAGGCGTCCAGGGTGCCGCCGCCGAGGTAGATCACCTGGGGGGGAGGGGGGCGCGCGCGCGCGCGTGTGTGTGTGTGTGTGGGCATGTGTGTGTGAGAGAGAGAGTGTGTGTGAGAGAGACACTGTGTGTGTGTGTGTATGTGTGTGTGTGTGTGTGTGTGTGTGTGTGTGTGTGTGTGTGCGCGCGACAGCTTGGCGCCGCAAGGTGGAGCAGGCGTGGCGCATGGGGCCGGGCGCGTGCAGAGCGGCTGCCTGTTGCGTGCGATGCGGGGCGCGACAGAGCCCGGGGCCGAGCAGTCGCACGGCAAGGAGCGGGGAGACGGGCGTGCCGGACCGCGCAGGCCCCCCGCGCACCGGCTTCTTGGAGCCCTTGAGCGCCTTCACGACGGCGGCCAGCTGGGCCGGCTCCGGGGGCGGCGGCAGGCGGCTCATGTAGCCCGTGATCGACATGGGGGTGTCCCTGCGGGGTCCAGGGTTTGAGGGTTTTGGGGCGTGGTCGAGGATCAGGCTGAGGTTTGGAGAGACCGCCAGACCCGAAAGCGTGAGCGGTGGGACGGCGGACGCAATCAGCGTAGGCGGCACGCAAGCAAGCGCATGCAGGGCGCAGCAGGGGCGGCCGGGGGCCGCCGGCGCCGGCGCTGGCCGCGCGGGTAGCAACAGGGGCGGAGGGAGGGGGAGGAGGGGGCGGTGGTGGCGCCCGCAAGGGTGTGCGGAAAACAGTCGCACCAGTCTGGTATGGCGAGCTGCTGCTGGATGTCCTTGGGCACATCCACCAGGAC